CACTCAGAACTCCAGCAAAGCTGATGAGCCACAAGTTTGAAATGAGTGATTCCAACACACAAACCAGATGTGCCCAGTGATTAATACCTGATGTGCCTTTTACTCAGTTATTTCTGCCATTATCCAAGCTTTGATCACTGTGATTTTCCTGGAGGTGACGTTGGATCCTCCTCTGCAAAGTCTGGTTCTGTTGTTTGGTTTATTCTATGGGTTTTCAGAAATTCGTTTGCCTTTGGTTCAGAAATAGTGCACTAAGTCAGGCACAGACTTATTTACCCTTGTGCTGTCCCAGCTTGCAAGCAGAGCTAAGTAACACAGGAGTCATCAGAAACCACTGGTATCTGTCATGCATCACCACTCCGAGCAGTTCTACTGAAGAGGTTATTCTTCTGATGTGAACCCCACTGTGGGAAAATTGCCTAAATTGTCAGTGTAGACACCACCCAAGTGCACATGCCCTTGCAGATAAGATCTTGTGTGGCTTCCTGCACCTCATGCTGTACGTGGAAAGAATAGTCATTTTTAGATGAGACAGAGCCGATTGCATTCAAAACAAGGCGAGAGGATCAGCTGTTGGTGCAGGGTGCTCTGGGCCGTGCAGTCACCTCGAAACACTCCCCACTTTCCCATGCTCTCAGTGTTGCAATCGCGTGACAGGAGGAGTGTTCTGGTGCTCCTGGCTGGGCCTCAACATGTCAAGTTTGGGAAACTTCCCCCATCCTTTGGTCAATGCACCTACACACGGTTTAGGTAGAATTCAATGTAGCTTTGGATCTCCCCTGGCCTCAGCCAGCCCTTTGCTATATTTTAGGTGTCTGTCCTTGGGAGACTAAACTGTTGCAAAATGTCCAAGTAGGATTTTTGCTTTCACCACCATTAAGTGAAAGAATGACCCAGAGCTCCCTGAGGATGAGAAGACTCAGGAGCTTTGACAGGATTTGAATTAGGTAATGGGCCATCAGCTTTTCTCCTGTACTAAGCAGTGGCTTCATCATGTAGCTCTCCTGTGTACACTTGGGGGTTCAAGGCAAGAGAGGGATCAGCGTTCCCCACATTTGTTATCACCTGGGGTTTTAGTACAGGTTGAATATTGTTAGGTGCAGCAATAATGCTAATTATTGCTGTTATTAGATTACATGCTAGAAACTCTGTGTATGAAATGTATTTTTGTGAAAAGGTTCCTTGTACCACCAGCCCCGACAATAACACGTTCTCTTTGGAGTTTGAGGGTGTGAGTAGACCCTGATTAGCTGCCAGTATCTCAGCATTCCCAGAGCTTCCCCATGTTCCTGCATCCTAACTCAATTTTTTGCTCTTAATGGTCAGCTGGTGAAGTGGGGAGGGGGGTATCTGCTGCTGAGGATTTGTGTTGCCCCGCTGATCCAGCCTGAGGATCTACACTTGGATGAATGGGATTGCCACCTTCCAGCTCCCCTGGCTCACCTTCCAGCCCAGCCTGGGAGTGCAGCACTGCAGGTGGGGAATGCTGGTTCTGGGTGGGGAGGGGGATTCTCACCCGTTCAGTTACAGACTCATTGAAGTGTTTGTTTTCTAACTACAAAATGAGCCTGCGAATGAGGTGTTGCTTTGCTGGAGATCTTATCAGCTATAAACAGACTGTTAAAAATAGGGTCGTTTTACACAAAACTTGTTTGTGGAGTGAAACAATTCAAAACACGATAATAACAAAACAAAATCTTAAAATAGCTCGAAGTTGAGACCACAGACACAGCTGCCAAGTGCTTTCATCTTTATTACAGTTACTCATATCTCTTCTCTTGCTATTCCCATTGTAAACACGCTGATGTTATCTCTCTTGTCCTCCCTGCTCGACCGCCAGCCCCTGTAACTGCACCCTGCGATCCAGCCTGGTGCTTGTTCCAGGGGCCCGGGTCATGCTGCTTCTTCCACGTTCAGTTCCAAGTGTGGACAAGGCTACTGGTGTTCCCTGCTGAGGGAAGGTCCTGCCAGCAGCACTACTGGTGTGGCTGCTCCATCACCACCTTGAGCTGGAGGATGTTAAATTGCTGTTAAAAACCAGCTTATGTAAAGCTTTGGACAGCTGCCAGAGCAGTGGTGGATTCACCATCCCTGGAACTGTTCAAAGAACATATGAATGTGGCACTTGGGGACATGGTTTAGTGGTGAACGTGATGGCAGTGCTGGGTTGACGGTTGGACTTGGTAAACTTAAAGGTCTTTTCCAACCTTAAGGATTCTATGAATCTATGTGTGATCTGCTTGAAGTTCCTCTGTCCTCCAGCCCTGGTGTGGTGGAGCTGGGTCTGCCAGCCCTGGGATGGGAAGGTGAGGGCTCTCCATGCTCTGGACAAATGAACATCTACACCTACATCTACACCCTTTCGTACAGGGTGGAATATCCAACCAGGAAAAGAGGAAAACCCAACCTGACACCATGCATGTTCATCTGATTAAGTCATCTGTACAGTTAATAGAGCTGGAGATAAAGCTCTGCCATTTAGATAAGAGGGCTGCAATTAGGTTAATCTGAACATTAAAAAGCCATTAGGGAATCGCTGGATGTTGCACATTAAAACTAACGGTGCAATAAAGGTACTCACGAGATCAAATGGTGAAACAGGGTTTGGAGAGTTGCAAGTCTTTTTTTTTTATGATTTCTTTTAATTCAGCAAACTGAGGAGCTGGGGGAAAAACAAAACCAGCTGCCAAAGCTTTGGAGTCCCAAGCCCCTTCTTCAGGTCCAAACCAGAAGTAGCACCCTTCAACTTGTCTGCCAGTGGAGAATAATCACTCGGTTTGAACTTTTGGATGTTAAACTGATAATTTGAGAGAAAAGGAACTTGATGCTTGTGGAGCAGAGGAGCTATTGGCCTCTAAGAGGTGGAATAGTCTGGAGTAAGAGATTTGGCTGAGGTTTAGTTGGGCTGAATGCTGCTCATGTACCTTTCTGTCCAGTACCCATTTGTAGCAGTCTCTGTATTAATGGTGGTTTCTGCTTTTGTCACTTAAAGCTCCTCTCTTGATTTCTCTTTTGAGGATGAAGCCTGGACTTTCAGTGTTCAAAAAACCAAACCCCCCCTAAAACCCCCAAAACCAAACCCAAACCCAAAGCAAACATAAAAAACTAATGTTTTCCAGCTGCTAATTGGGACAGAAGGATTTAACAGCCGAACTTCCATGGTGTGCATTGGTTTTCTGCTTTTGCACACTCAGTCTGTGGTGCAGTGGATGAAACACAGGCATGAATTCCCCAGAAAGTAACATAATCCACGGCTCCTGCCGTGAGCAAGGCTCAGATGAGCTGTGAGGTGTCTGTGGGGCTTGGCTGGCTCTGCAGAACATGTGCTGCCAGTGATGGACTGAGTTCAGGTGTCACTCAAATGCTGGGAGAGATCACAGAAAATGGATTTCAAAGTGTGTGCCTGCCCCCACTTAGGGTACTTTTTTGGTTAAATCTTTCTAGAAAGGTTTCATGCATGTGACGTGTAGTGGTGGGGGTTGTGTTTCCTTGGGGAAAGGCACATCTGTTCCTGCATTATGTTTGCTTACATATTAGGAGGCCTATAAGAAAGATGGGGACAAACATTTTAGCAGGGCCTGCAAGGGTAGGACAAGGGGTGATGGTTTTGAACTAACAGAGGGGAGATTTAGATTTGATGTAAGGGATTTTTTTACAGTGAGGGTGGTGGTACACTGGCACAGATATCCCATGTGGATATTCCATTCCTGGAAAAATTCCAAGTCAGGCTGGATGGAGGCTCTGAGCGCCCTGATCCAGATGAAGATGTCCCTGCTCACAGCAGGGGGGTTGGAACTAAACCATTCTATGATTCTACATTCTAACAAATAACGCAGTTCTAAAATGCAAATCTTTCTCTCGAATCAAAATCCATCACAGAGAGCAGAGAAATCTGTGGAAGAGAAGAGCTTTTCCTCCAAGCCCTACCACACTGGTTTTATCCACATTTGAGTAAACAGGCATTTGTGAACTCGGTGGGTTCCATGTAGTGCTCAGCATTACACACATGCTATGGCAGGGTTAGTGTTTTCAGTACTGCTTAGAACCGTTCTGGAAAATACAGCCGAACTCTGCAAAGCAGTTAGAAGGACACTTCTGTAAAACCTCCTCATTCCCTTGTTCCCTGTTCAGCACTAAGACACAGAGGTGCTCAAAGGCTCCCTGCCCTTATTACTCCAATTACTGGCACAATGCACTATATTAAAGCAACCCACTATATGCTTATTCTGTATTTGAGATCCAAGTGTTCTTACACACTTCAGAAATTAGATAGTATTAACTACTGTAAATCCTAATTGGTGTCTGTGCCTCCCAAGCAATGCACAGTTAGAGCTTCCTCCATTCCTGTAATCCCCAGCTGGGATGGGACGGGCAGTGGCTGAACCAGCTCTCCTGAGCCTGAGTTCCTGCAGTTCAGCCCAGCAGGTTCCTTGCTGCAGAAGATCCTGATTTGGAGGCAATTTGTGAATGTGGTAGGTCTTGGCTTATGAAAGATTTGGAAATCCCACAAAAGGGAAAATACAGTGCTTCCCATCTTGCTGCCTCTGGTGAACCTTGTGCTGTCAGGGGTGTGGAGCAACACAGGAACTGGGAAAACTGAAACCTCTTGATTTCAGGGTGTTCTAAATCTTGAGTTGCTTTCACAAAATCCAACTATTTTAGAGAACTTCAGAGTCTCAGAAAGGTGTGCTGGGTCAGGTGTTTTTTACCGTGCATGGATAGGAAGTAGCCATCTCAGCTGGTTTTATCCAAGTGCTTCACTTTCTCTCTTTTTACCTGACAACGTGATCTTTAATTTTGCTCCAGGAGATGTTGCTAATCATGATATGCAGGTCTGCCACGAGTGTTCTTGTACATTTGGAAGTGGAATGTCTGTGACCAAATGTTTGCAGGATTTGTGCTTGACAACGTAACAGAAATAATTAACACATTAAAAATAGCCCGTTTATCCACTGTGGGGTTCTTCTAAATACACAACTTTTTTAATTTATATTTTCTAGGCAGCCATACTGAGTATTAAGCTGAAATTACAGCCAGATCAAGATGTGGAGAAGGTGAGTCATTTCCTCTGCAGGTTCCTCTGTCATCAGATCCACCTTTTGTTCAGCAGGACATCCATCATGCTGCCTTTCACTTGAGGCTTTACTTCATTCCCCAGAAGTACCTATTGCATTGATGATGCACCTTTCTTTACATCCAGGTTAGGCACAGAATGTATTTCGTTTGACCCCA